ACGATAAACCGTGCCCTCAAGACGCCATTGTTTTCGGTCTTCAATTCCTCACAGGTCACGTGGTACAGTTCCCGTTCTATAAGTGTAGAATTATGTGAGCAGACCACACCAGAGCACCCGCCAACCACCCTCGAGGCGAGGCGGAAGACGTAGAACATAAGAACAGGCAGTCGCATCTTTCTGTCAAATGAACGGCCCAGGGCGGTGCTACTGACTGAAGTATCTTTAGGGCATTCCCAAAGGGGCATATTTATATGTTCTTATGCACAGTAGAATTGTAAATGGACTGATTTATCAATGTCATGCTCATACTGTGCCGGAACAAAATAGAGGGAACCGCTAGTTTTTCTTTCTTCTTCCTTACTATCGTCATTTTCTCCTCTACTTCTTTTGTATGTTTGTCATTCTCTTGTGACACGCTATTTCCGGGGTGCCTTGATAGTCGAAGTAGATTTTGTGCTGTTGAAGCTAGAGAGGTGAGCAGAGTAAGTCTGATTCCCTGTAAGGACTTCTCTGTTGACATCCACCCCTTGGCGCTCATATGACTTTGTGCAGTTGCGAGCGCCGTAAAACCTTCCTAATACTAAACGGATACCCATCGGTGGAGTTCATCATCAGATCGGTTCACATCGGTTTGAGGGACTGTTAAAGCGTGAATGAGTGTGTGAATGTGTGTGTGTGAATGTGTGTGTGTGAATGAGGGTGTGAATGAGTGTGTGAATGTGTGTGTGAATGTGTTTGTGAATGAGTGTGTGAGTATGCATGTCTATGTACGTACGTGTATTTATGTCTGTGTGTCTGTGTGCGTATGTCTGTGTGTATGTGTGTGTGTCTGTGTTTTTGCGCGCATACATATACGTGTGTGTGTGTGCGTGCGTGTGTCTGTGTGTGTGTGTGTGTGTGTGTGTGTGTGTGTGTATGTGTGTGTGTGTGTGTGTGTACCATTTATACAGACTGCACATGTATAATGAATAAAATAAATAAAATGATAACAGTATCTGAAGTAGTAAAAACAGTGTGTTTCAACCAGGGACCTTTTTGGGGGGTAAGTTTTACGGCG